GCTTGTCTGTTTTATTTCAGCTCAGCTGGCTTGTTTGTATTGAAGCAGAGAGCACTGGTCTGAATAGTTATGCAAGCAGGTCCACAAGTCAGTAGCCTCAGCGAAGTGATAGGGGCAGATGGCTGGGAACCAGTTGGGGCTGACAGGCTCTTCACCCAGCTCTGCTGAAGCCAGATCAAGATCTGTGAGCAGAACCTTGATATGTTGATTAGACACTCGAGTCAAAAAGGGTAATTACCCTTGGAGGTGTTTGCATTGTTATTTTGATGCCTGTATGCTAATTTGTGAGAAACTAGAATGGCAGATTTTTCTCCCTTACTTCATCCATGAGAAAGGAGACGACTCTCCATCATTTTTCAGTGACTCTGGTATTCAAAAAGAAGCTTAATTTCTCTTTATTAAGAAGATCCAGAAGAAATTATTGAGAAACTTCCTGCTGATCTTTTCAGACCAGCCTGCAGTTTGCTGGATGTTCATCGTTGTCATCGTCATCATCTTTTCAAAGGCTGAACCTGCTATGAGCTTTGACCTTCCTTTTGCTGAAAGTTTGTGCTCTCTTGTTACTCATCTCAGCTGTGTGGAAGGTGATGACCTCTCCATGTGGCTGTTGCACTCCCTCTGTGGCACCCAGGGATCTGCATTGCTATTGTTTTCTTTAAGTGGAGGCAGCAAGGGTTTTGTTTTTTTTTCTATTCCCTCTCCAGCTTTCTGGGCATACTGCATCACGTTTTGGTTCAGTGACCACACTGTTATTCTGTCAAATTGCCCATCCCTACCATTTTGGCTTTCCTTTTGGAGTGTGTACATTTCCCCCTGCAGCCTCCACTTACTCCTGTCATGTCTCTTCTTTCAGCATTACATGGTTCTGAGGCTATGATGACCCTGAGGGTCACTCTGTGCAGTTGCAATTAATCTTGTAGATGAGTTGAGCTTTATGGGAGAAGGACAGAGGGCTTAGGCAAGCTGTGCTGCTGAGCTCTGGGGCTGTCTCTGGGATACTGCCTGGGAGCCTTACATGAAGCCGGGGGAGCTATGGGACTTCTCAGAGTGTTTTTTTTTACAGTGGAGCACTTTCTCCCAGTCAGGTTTGTTAACTTTCCTTTACAGCCATCAGAGACAAAGCTAAGGATTTTTTGTTTGTTTTTATTTTGGGAAGAAAAAAAAAAGAGGGAAAAGAAGGCAGAGATCAAGACAATTTTTCACCAAATAACATAACTCCTTGAGAAATGCTCTGGGAAATACAGTTATCTGTAGTGATGAGAAAGCAGGAAAGGAATGGAAAGACTGGCTGTGAACCTGTGAACTGGCTGTGAACTCTGTTTCTTAGAGTGGTACCCTTTAAATTTCAGATTTGGAAAACTTTATCATGCCAGAGAGAAGCAAGGTGAGCTCAAAACAAGTTTTCCTTCCTTTTTGTCTACTTGCTGCAAGCTATACTTTTTCATGTTAATGGAAAGGTGATGTTACTCAGAAGGGGCTGTACTGGTTGGTGGCCAGATAAAGGTTCAGGAATATAAAGCTAATATAATACGGTTCAGCTATATAAAGACCTAGAAAAAGAAATGCTCTTTCTCATCTCCTGTGGCTTTACCGATATAAGAAGACTTCAACATGTAGAAAAGTATGATTTCCAAATATATGACTTGTGGATTTAATCATAGGACTGTGATACTGCTTTTTTGTTGTTTTGGTTTTAATAATCTCTGAAGCAGATACATTGCGAATCTGCCTCTTCTGTAGGAATCAGGCTGTTTGTTCCTTTTATTAGAAGATTACTGTTGGTTTCAGACTTATGTATCAGTGTTGTTTCTTTGGATGGGATTTACATTTATCTGAGCTCTTTGTCTAAATTTCTTTTCTTATCAATGGAGAGTAATACAGTTTGCTGAAGTCATCTTGTCCTTTCGCAGATCTCTAAGACAATTCAGATGAATCATTTTTTCTTGGTACATGCTTCTCCCTGCTGATAATAAGGGAGTCTAACAGAGCAGCTCTATACATCCAGACATGTTGCAGGTCACTAAAGTCACTTGAGTTGAAAACCACCTCTAGTGTTTGTGAAAAATGTACACACTATCAACCATGAATTGGCTTCTGAGTGAAATGGAAACTGTGAGTATATAGCCTCCTGGCGGAAGTCTATCCTCCAGTAAGGTAGTCCCCATAATCACATAGCCTGTATTCATGACTTTTGCTCCCTTGTTAGGTTTGCAGTGTGCCTACCTTCTGTACATAAGTGCTTTCTGCTGTATTTCAGGGGTAAAAAGGGTACTGAACCTGATGATTTTCATCAAGTATATGTTGCTTTTCCAGCCAAACTTCTTAACTCTTATTGTAAAATTTCAGTCCTGTTCTAACTGGGGCATTTAATAGCATATAGAGCAGTAACATTAGCTATGCTTTGAAATGAGTTATGACAAATGTTAGCTAGGAAGTAGATAATGGGCTATACTAGTTAATACAGATGAGCTAATGATGTTCTGATTGCCTTTCATGGAAGTATCTGCTTTTATTCGTGGATTATATAAGGAAAATAGGCATTTAGCTTTGGTCCTCTGATTTGCATCTGACTTAGATGTCTACCAGAACTTTGAATAGCTGAAATTGGAACACCTGGTTGGTGCTGATTCAATGTAAAGAAATATGTTGTGGGCTTAATTAAACAGTAACAGACCATTCAGTAATGCTAATGCACACATGCATGTTCAGAAAGATTAATTAATCTGACCTGCAGCTTGCTCTGTCATTAATTATTAAACATTTGAGAATACAGGAAAATGCATGGTCGGCTAATCAGATAAAGCCCTTTAAAATTAATTTTAAAACCTTCACCATTCCTACTAGAATCTTAAATCAACACTGGTTCCTAAATAAAATGTGATCTGACTGTCAAAAAAGATGGAGATTTTCCAAAAGTCACAATCTTAAATCTTCCTGCTATCAATCAAGACATCCTGTTATTAATCCCATCCACCATTAGCATTTTGGAATCAGAATTGTTGTGTCTTTCCACATTATCATTTGTAACATGCTTCATGGATTTTTTTCTCCACTCAGATTTTCCTTCAGAAAAAAATACATTGGCTCACGTAACCCAGTGCTAAGCATGTGGGAACTTGCTTAACAATTTAATTTTGGAAAATTTAAGTTTGCCTTCCTTGGGATCTTCCAGGTTGGAAGGGACCTCAGGTGGTCATCTGCTCTAACATCCTGTTCAAAGCACAGTCAGCAGTCGATTCAGCATTTAGGTGCTCAGGGTTTTGTTGAGTCAGATCTGGAAAACTTCCATGGTGAGAACTTTCTGGGCAGCCTGTCATAATGCTTGGACAATTTGTTTCCTTTGACCCAGTTGGAGCTACCCATCTTTTAGGCTGGGGCTGCTGTTTCTCGTCCATTTGCCACACCTCTATAACAAGGATTTGTATTCTTGCTAACTTTCCTGTAAATACTGGTAAGCTGCTGTTAAGTGCTCCCAAAGCCATCTTGTCTTCAGGCTGAACCAGATCTGATCCTGCAGCTTCTGGTTATAGGGCAAGTGCTCCAGCCCAACTATTTTGGTGGCCTCCACTGAACTCATTACAGTTTACCAATGTCTTTCATGTACTGGGAATCAAAACTAGCAGCAGTATTCAAGATGAGATGTAATGAGTACCAGATAAAGATGAATAATCAGTTTCCTTGATCAGCTGGCTCTGGTTTTGTTAATAAAGTCAAGTATGACAGCACACGCTGCCCACTCATGTTTAGGCACAAGCATACATTGTTGTAGCACCAGACTATTCTACTGCACACCAAACATCTGCAGGCAAACACTTGTTTTAAGCCAGAGATAGCATCATTTTCTAGACAATATTGCACTGTTTGTGACAAAAGTGTCAAACCTACCTGGCTGTCTGACATCAAACCCAATAAATCAGATAGTCTTACAGTAAGCAAATCTATTGTACAGCACATGTGCCAAAAGTACGTTTACTGTGCAAATACAGGATGACTTTGATACTTACTTTTTTAGCTGAAAGATATGATATACCTAAAAATCCCTTTTCCTAAATAAAAACATACTTTTCCACACAGCTGTCCCTTATTTGTGGAAACTTGCTAGGAGACTTTAAAAGAGAAAGCTGTTTAAAAGAGAAAGCCCAGGCAATACTGGATGAGCTCTAATTACTTTAACTGGAAGAACTGGTGGTTCTTCCTCTGTTTCTTCTTTCTGCCAGGATGTGGAGTGCAGAGGACTGGCTCTGGAGCCAGCCTTTGTGACAGTGCACTCCTCTGTGCTCTTGTGTCCAGGAGGACAATGCAGAGGCAGTTACATTGGCCCCACACAGGTCTGGCAAAGCCTACTAGCTGGGCTTTGTGCCATTCTTCCAAGGATTTATCCCCTGGTAGGTAATAAAAGTGTTTCCTTTTTACAGATTTATTTTGTACTTGCGTAACTTCAATATGTAGGTGAAGTCCCATGTATATTGCAAAAATAGCAAAACTGGCCATTTCTTTTGCTTGGTCTACAGCTCCCAGTGGGATTAGTTATCTCCTATTTTAACTCCAGCCATAGGCTAAAGCCCTTTCTAAATTTTTCCACATGTACTTGGTCTTCAGCTGAGTCCTGTCTACTGAAAGACTTTCTCAAACTTTTCCAGTTATTTAACTCCTCAGATTTTTGAAAGTCCAGAATGGGAGAGACAAATAGCTTGTTACCCTCACTACTGAATGCTGGGTATGTTCCCATCACCTGGGTTGGAGCAATCCCAGGCACAGCTACAGGTTGGGCAGAGAAGAGATTCAGAGCAGCCCTGCGGAAGAAGGACTTGGGGGTGCTGGCTGGTGAGAAAATGAACATGAGCCGGCTTCAGTGTGTGCTCGCAGCCCAGAAAGCCAACCATATCCTGGGCTTCACCAAAAGGAGCTTGACCAGCAGGTCCAAGGAGGTGATCCTGCCCCTTTGCTCTTGTGAGACCTCACTTGGAGTATTGTGTGCAGTTCTGGTGTCCTCAACATAAAAAGGACATGGAACTGTTGGAACAAGTCCAGAGAAGGGCCACGAGGATGATCAGGGGACTGGAGCACCTCCCGTATGAAGACAGGCTGAGAAAGTTGGGGCTGTTCAGCCTGGAGAAGAGAAGGCTGCATGGAGACCTCATAGCAGTCTTACAGTATCTGAAGGGGGCCTATAAGGGTGCTGTGGAGGGACTGTTCATTAGGGACTGTAGTGACAGTACAAGGGGTAATGGGTTCAAACTTAAAGAGGGGAAGTTTGGATTGGATATAAGGAAGAAGTTGTTTCCTGTGAGGGTGGTGAGGCACTGGAAAAGGCTGCCCAGGGAAGTTGTGAATGCTCCATCCCTGGGGGTGCTCAAGGCTGGGCTGGACAAAGCCTTGGGTGGCATGGTTTAATGTGAGGTGTCCCTGCCCATGGCTGGGGGGTTGGAGCTAGTTGATCTTAAGGTTTCTAACTTTCTAACACTAACTATTCTGTTATTCTATGATCCTATGCAGTGCTTTCTTCTGTGCATTCACCATTTATTTACACTCTCCAAGTTCTAACTTTTTACCTTCTGTGCATGTGGCTTTTTCTCCAGTGCTGTATTTCCACTTTTCTTGTGGACTCAGTGTTCATGTCCTGTTAGTTTTCAGATTTACAATCCTTACCTTTTGGATATAAAATTGTCAGCTGCTCTGGTCATTCTCTGTGTCCATCCTTTAAATGTTGTGCCAGAGCTTGTAAACTCTGATAATCCAATACAGAATACGCCTCTCTTTCCAACACTTAGTATAATTTTGGCTTGCTCTGTTTGTCACAAAGGGTTCAGCTTCATCTGTTTTTGGGGTATTCTGTCTTGAATTTCGTTGGTCTGTCAATCGCATGTTTATTTTTATTTTCATCTATGGCTTATATGTTTACCTCAGAGGACTGACTGGTTCACTTTCAACTTCATTTTTCATTGGGTAATTTAATTTACTCTGTAAGCTGTAAATGCTTGCTTAAGAGTTAAGTCTGGATCTTCTAGTAGTTTCCCTGTTTTGCCTCAGATTCACCCCAGATTGTTAGCTCAGATTTTCTATCTACCTATCTTTTCACTGACATCTTGCATTTTCAGTATGAAAGGCTATTTAGATTTTCTCTGGCAGTCTTTGACATTTCCAGATTTTCTGTTGTAGCAGGTCTTTTACCATTTGTCTAATCAGGGCTAAGTTGTGTTTTGTTTGTTTGTCTATTTGTTTTTAGTTTATTGTACCCTTCTTGTTCTGAAATCATTAGAGGCAAGGATTATTGTAGAGGTCTAAAGCTTTCTTAATCATCAACATAATGTGTTTTAAATCTCCAGCTTTGCATATTAATGGTACAAGATGGCTCTTGCGAGAGCCATGAGGATTGCTGCTTACACATACTGATGAATCGGCTTTTCTTTTTCTTTCTCTCTCTCTCTTTCTCTCTCTCTCTTTCTCTCTCTCACTGTCTCTTTCTCTCTCACTGTCTCTTTCTCTCTCTCTGTCTCTTTCTCTCTCTCTCTCTTTCTCTCCTCAAAATTTATTTTCTGGAGAGCCTTGCAGCCCATGTTGACTTTATACATACACTACTTCCTCATGATGCATGGATTTGATTGAGGTGGGCAAGAATATGAAGAGCAATTTGAAAATGGGAGAAATGGGAGATGGAAAACTACTGCTTCTTAGTTTTCAGCTGGTCTATAGCACATTAGTAACCAAAGCACACACAAGTTAAAATAATCCTTAAGAAATTCGAAATCTGACCATGTAAAAGTGACCATGAATAAAACCCCTGATCTTACAAAACCTAGTTAATGGTGGCTTAACACAAAATTATATGTGAAAGGTATATGGGTGAGAATCAAAAACTAGTAGGCACGAAGGTCTATAACAAAAGGTAAAAAGCTAATACACAATTCTAGATCATAGAATCATAGAATAGTTAGGGTTAGAAAGCACCTTAAGATCAACTAGCTCCAACCCCCATGCTGTGGGCAGGGACACCTCACATTAAACCATGCCACCCAAGGCTTTGTCCAGCCCAGCCTTGAGCACCCCCAGGGATGGAGCATTCAGAGATTCCCTGGGCAGCCTTTTCCAGTGCCTCACCACCCTCACAGTAAAGAACTTCCTTATATCCAGTGTAAACTTCCCCTGTTTAAGTTTGAACCCATTACCCCTTGTCCCGTCACTATAGACCCTAATGAAAAGTCCCTCCACAGCATCCCTACATCCCCCCTTCATATACTGGAAGGCTGCTATGAGGTCTCCACGCAGCCTTCTCTTCTCCAGGCTGAACAGCCCCAACTTTCTCAGCCTATCTTCATACAGGAGGTGCTCCATCTCCCCTGATCATCCTCATGGCCCTCCTCTGGACTTGTTCCAACAGTTCCATGTCCTTTTTATGTTGAGGACACCAGAACTGCACCCAATACTCCAAGTGAGGTCTCACAAGAGTAGAGGGGCAGGATCACCTCCTTCGACCTCCTGGTCACGCTCCTTTTGATGCAGCCCAGGATACAGTTGGCTTTCTGGGCTGCAAGCGCACACTGAAGCCGGCTCATGTTCATTTTCTCACCAACCAACACCCCCAAGTCCTTCTTCCGCAGGGCTGCTCTGAATCTCTTCTCTGCCCAACCTGTAGCTGTGCCTGGGATTGCTCCAACCCAGGTGTAGGACCTTGCACTTGGCATGATTAAACTTCATGAGGTTGGCATCAGCCCACCTCACAAGCATGTCAAGGTCCCTCTGGATGCCATTCCTTCCCTCCAGCATTATCAACCGAACCACACAGCTTGGTGTCATCGGCAAACCTGCTGAGGGCGCACTCAATCCCACTGTCCATGTCAGCGATGAAGATGTGGAACAAGACCAGTCCCAACACCGATCCCTGAGGGACACCACTTGTTACTGGTCTCCAGCTGGACATTGAGCCATTGACCACAACTCTTTGTGTGCTGCCATCCAGCCAGTTCTTTATCCACCAAGTGGTCCACCTATCAAATTGATGTCTCTCTAATTTAGTGACAAGGATGTTGTGTGGGACAGTGTGAAACACTTTACATCCTCCTTGAACCACCTACATTATTTTCATTGATTCATGAAATCAGCAATCTGATTTAATCTTGTTTCTGCCTCCATCTTCAGATTTGAGGCTACTTGATCAGAAATGAAGTTTGTAAATGTCAAAATGTTTAATGATAAGACTGTTTGTAATTATTTTTTTTCTGGAAAAAAACCCAAGGAGCTATGTGTTTATAGCTGCTTGATTTAGTGAAAGTGTGATAATTTAACTTTTCACTATAATAACATTTTATTTTAAATAACATAACATGCACTTAATAAGTATGTTGCCATTTGAGATGATTAAAAATATTTTCTGTATTCTAAAATAACATGAGGTTCTGTTTGTTTCAGGTTTTGTTTGGTTTTGTTTATTTTTTCTCTTTTTTACAAATCCCACCTGATGACATCCAGAAATAATTTTTTTCACTGTTGAAGCACAAGTAGTTATAAAATCTTTGGGATTCCCCTCAAATAAGAAATTTCATGTTCTAACCTGATGCTCTGAGTTCTTGCAAAAACATCTGTCTTATAAACTGTGCTGTCTATAATAATTTATGCATCATTAGACTAAATAGATCCTATGAATGAAGCAGAGGAAAATATTTACATCTTTTAATCCAGCTCATTTTTGTTTTTCAAAGAACTCTCATAGGCCTAGGGTTTATAATTACTCAAATGAGTATGAGCGCAGGTAATCCTCAGCCAGGTTGGGACCTCATTGTAGTAGATGCTGCACAAACACACAGTGTCTGCCAGCTTGTGTCCCAGAGCATTCACAGTTTGAAAACAAGCTGCAACAGGTGGATGATAAACAAGAGAAGATGGAGTAACTCTTACAAGCAGAATGCCTTAGTACAACTAATTAGTTGTGCAAATCAAAGCCCATTCATGGCAGCAGTGAAGAAATATATGAAGGAATAAAAAGAAACCAATATCTCCTTCAGTTTCAGTTTTCTAATAATATACACAAAACTGCTGTCATCAATACTTTACCAAAACCTGTCAATTTTTTTCAATAATGAGGCAGTATGATCTACCCTACTAAGTAACCATACTTTGAAAGACTGTTGAGAGTTCATAAAGCTTTTCTAAGGCATGGACACTAATATAGAAATGAAATATTAGTTTAATAACACTAGACCAACAATTTAATGGGCTTATAATTTTCAATGTCCCTAAGCAGTAAGCATCAAGAGCTGATATTAAATTCTGTTTTCTTATTTTAAAATTACTTTACATTTCCCAATGGGACTTTAAAGGTTTGCTGTTGCATTCTATCTGAAAAGAATCATGGATGATAGCAAATATAAAACCATAAAAGCTAACATGATCTGGGATATTACATCTGCCAATAGTTGTTTTCCTCCAATTTGGTACTAGACTTCTTAAAATTTATCAAGTTAGTGCTTCCAGTAAGGCATAACTTCCCATCCACTGGAAAATCTCATATAAATTACAGATTTTTTGAGGTTTAAATTTTGAAGTTTGGGTTTGTTTGTGGTTTCTGTTTGCTTATATGTGGGTTTTGTTGGTATTGTGGTTTAAGGCCAGCTGGCAATCCAGAACCACACAGCTGCTCGCTCACTCCCTCCCCTTCCTCCGCTCACTCCCTGAAGGATGGAGAGGAGAATAAAAAATATTTAACTCCCATGAGTTGAGATAAGAACAGTCCAGTAACTAAGGTATAACACAAACCACTACTGCTACCACCAATAATAATAATGATAAGGGAAATAACAAAGGAAGAGAATACAGCTGCCCACCACCCGCCGACCAATACCCAGCCCGACCCCAGCAGTGATCTAACCCTTCCGGGTAACTGCCCTCAGTTTATATAGTGAGCATGACGTGCTGTGGTGTGCAATACCTCTTTGGTTAATTTGGGTCAAGTGTCCCGTCTCTGCTTCCTCCCAGCTTCCCCTCCTCCCTCGCAGAGCATGACACTCAGAAAGTCCTTGGTCAGAGTTACTGAGCACCAACTAAAAACATCAGTGTTATCAGCA